CGACCGGTCCAGCGGGGTTGGCGGTAACAGACGGCCCCCGGTTGGCAGGTCCCTCAGGCCGGAGGAGAAGACGCGGTTAGGCTCGGGGGAGGTTTTGGGGAAGCCCTGTTCTGCTACCTTGAGTTCTTTGGGGCCTCAGGAAACAGGCAAGCTGTCGCCGCGCCTCTTGTGACGCTCGAGGATGTGGCTGGGGGGCAGCAACCTTCGGAAGACCTTCGGAAGTTTCAGACCTGTTTAGTTGTTTGGGAGTTCTTTGTGCTAACCACCTGCTGCCAGCCTCAGGGAGTCTTCTGGTGCAAAAAAATGTTTTCAGGCACGTCAAGAGGAAGTCTTCCTCATTTTTTTTTCTAAGAGTCCTTATAAAGCGATGTTTTGCTTAAGAGTAATTTTCATATTAAAAAGACTAGTGTACTTTTATGTGTATCTGTATGTGTATGTTTAAGTTACATGTTCCAAGAAGTAAACTACTTTACAGGGTTTAACTTAAGGTGCTTTTAGAGCTGTTGTGTCTGACTAGAATAGAAGGCTCTTAATATATTTGGTAACTTGGAAAAAGAGAAAAAATGTCCATATCCATTTTTGTACCAGCAGTGTGACTATACCAAGTACTGGAATAGCAACAGGATTTGGGTTTTTTAGGAAAATAGAGAGATGGGGGGGATAATGGTCAGCGTAGAGGCAATTTCAGACTTGGACGTCAGGAGCAGAAGGTATTTTGGTTTTGACTTTTGTGCCACAGGGATACTTGTGTTAATCGTAGTTGTGTGGAAGAGCACGCAGAAATAGTTGCATTCTTAAACTTAGTATGTTTTTCTGTAGCAAACCATAAGATGATGGAGTTTGGGATTTTTTTATTTGGATGTTGGTTTTGAAATTTTAAATGGATTTGTTCGTTATGGTTAACGCTGGCTCTAGAGGATCTAGAAGAGTGAATGATTTTGCTGCCTGTTTTGCAGTATAAATCCAAAATTGCCCAAATAATTTTCAGTTCAGTGTTAAGCACTTCTTTGTTATTAATGCTTTTGGGGGGCTTTTGGGCTGTTGGCTCCATGCTGATTTTTCTCGTTTGGTGCTGTCTTTCAGATGGGACACCCAGGCATGCCGCACTATCCTCCCATGGGAATGCACCCGATGGGTCAGAGACCACCAAATATGCCTCCGGTTCCACACGGTATGATGCCTCAGATGATGCCCCCCATGGGAGGACCACCAATGGGGCAGGTAAGGGCGTTATGAAGATCTTTCTCTTTCCTCCTTCCCATACTGACGTCAGGTAATCTCTGGGGTAGGTAAGTGTGCAGAGGGTGAGGTTAATGGCTCGGGGGATTTTATGCCACAGTTCCTACCCGTGCAGAAACTCTTCTCGTTTGTAACAGGTAATTGATGCATCTCGTGTAACTGTAAACAGCTGGAGTTAAGAATCCATAATTTGTCTTTTCTTAAAGCTTTTTGGTAGTTTTCTTTCAGTTTTGAAGAAGTAAGTTTGTCTTACTGATCCTTGCGAGAAACATGAAGCAGTGTCTCTTTGCAGAGGTAGCAATGGCAGAGAATTCTTGGCTCTTACATCTGCACAGATGAAAATGTCAGGGAGATGTATAATTACGTTTTGATTTTTTGCGTAATTCCTTCTTGAATCCTAGGGAATGGCTTATAATTTGTGTATATACAGTTGTTGCTAGTGTCATGTAGTTGAAAAATAAACTTGTCCATTCAGGTTGACAGGTGTGAGCCTGGGTTGACAGGTAGAGTAGCCAGAAGCATATTTGTGTGTTTTGCAAACTGATAACTGAAAATAGCAGCTTTCAAAGATCCTTTCCTGTGTGGTTTCTGATTCAGTTCAGAACTTCTAAAGGAAACAATTCTCTTTCTGGATGTAATAAACATTCTAGAGATACTACTTGTGATGGTTTATGTAAGTAGAAACCAAGCGTCGCCAACTAGAGCAGAGGGATAGAGGAAAACAGAGCAGAAAGAGCATGGCAAGAAAGATTAACCGTTTGAGAATAGCCCGCAGGGTCACGCTGGCAACTCAGTGTCTTCCTTTGCCATAACTTGGATAGAGCATGTGTGAGTCTCTTTTTTTTGTTTTGTTTAAACCTGGGCTATAAAGGCTTGGTAGGAATCTCTTTGGTGGGTTTTGCAGCCTGTTCGAGCTTCTGGTGTAAAAATAATGCAGTTGTAAAAGAAGAGGAGGATTTGACCATGATGGCCATGATGAGCTTGTGTGTGTGTTCATTAGAAACTTAAGTAGCAGTTCTGTTTTACTCCTCTACTGAACAGTTCTTCTGTAGCTTATGTTCCCCTGTTTTCACTCTCATATATTGAATATTTCAACCTTTAGTACTTTAGTGAGCAGTATAGACAACTTGGATCTTTTTGGTAGACACAGAGCAAAAAACAATACGGAGAGGAGACGAGAGGCTCAGTCATCGCCTTGAGGATGAGACAGAACAGTGGTATTCTCACACCAGAACTATATTGTGCTGGAAGTATCAGCCCATGTTGGCTCATTGCCTTGATGGAATAAGCTCTTTCTTCCAGCAGATGTGGGAGGTTTATTTGTGAGACTTTGCAGGATGGGGTTTTCTGTAGCTTGTTTTCTCCTTGGTGAGGCAAACCCCTGAGGACAGGTGACTACTTTGTACAGGTAATAGCAACAGCCTCCCATCGGCATCATTCAGAGGAAGGTCTTTTGGAAAAGAATTAGCTCTCCATCCCTTTTTTTTTTTTGACTTTGGGTTAGTTTTACACAGAAACCGAGCAGCGCGCTGGGTTTATTTAGGACCTGAGCCAGGGTTTTTCAGAAGCTTCACCAGCTCAGCGCCCCCCTTAGTTAAAAGTAGCAGTGGGGCAAGAGTGCTTTCTTCTCCTGCTTCTACAGGATGGCGAGGAATAGGAGGGGCCGCCTTCCAGTCTTTCCTTCCTCCCTCACCCTCCCAAGAAAACCTTGTGGATTTGAGGGTGGAGCAGTAGCCCTACCACATATCCCTCTCTCCGCACGAGATGCAAGATGAGGAGAGTGGTAACCTGATGCTCCCTGAAGATACAGGGGGATGGGGTCACTTGGCCAGCCTGCCAAGGACGATAAAGGTAAAGGGGCATGACTGAAAAGTTGAAGGGGGTTGGCTTCTCAAGACCTGTTCGGGATGAGTGGCCAAAAGCTCATGTTCGTGACGACCTGAATTACGTATCTTGTTCATTTTGCCACTTTTTAATGGCTTGTTAATACCTGAAAGCCAGGATCGGCAAAAATAATGGGAAACATACAAGGTATTAATCGCTTTCCCTGTAGCATTTTTGACACGTTTTCAGTGCCTCACTTCAGTGATGCATAACTTCTCCGTAACTGTCCCTTCGAGACTGTAAGTCTAAATATTTGAGCAAAAGCTGGCTTATCTGAGTAGCGGTTCTGTGGTTTTTCTGGTCTCCTTGGACCACCCAGCAAACTCAGATATGAGTCTAGGCTCACACTTTTCACTTCTGTAGTGTGGTATGTCCCCATTGCCAGGATGCTGTAACACTGTATGTCTGTTAAGGCTTTTTTTTTTCCTAGTCCTTTAAAGAAAAGAGCTCAGAATTGGTTTAGAGCTTTGTTTAAATTTATGCTGTAATACTGTATGTCTGTGTTAAGGCTTTTTTTTTTTCCTAGTCCTTTAAAGAAAAGAGCTCAGAATTGGTTTAGAGCTGTGTTTAAATTTAATAGTTTTCTTCATCTTGAAGTAATTAATTCTTCTGGTGTCTGTAAAGTGTGTGTTTCTATTTGTGAGGTGGGAGGGAATGGAGGCAGGTTGAAAGTTGTCAAAAAATGTGAGCAGAACTAATCTTAGATTCTGTGTTAACCTTGCCGGTGTTCAGTTTGTTCCTTGTGGCCTTGGAATTTGGCAGAAATCTTTCCCAACCTTTATTTTTTCTTCTTTAACTTAAGATTTCCATAGTAGCTTATTAACAGATCACACATCATTTGCTCTTGTTCTTTTGTAGTTGGAATGGTCATCTTTATTAATATTTCCTGTCAGACTTTGGGATACTGTGGACATGTCATTCCTAGTGTCCATTTTGTAGGAGTGTAGTGAAGGGAATGAGAATTCTACAAGAGAATTCTACAAGAGAATTCTACAAGAACACAATTACTTTGTGTTCCCAAGTGCTTAAAAGGGTTGTTTTTTGAATTAAAAGCTAATACCAGGTAATTGCTTTTAAATAAAAGAATCCTCATATTTTATGTTTAAAATATCATAAAATACATCTGAAATACTTTTTAATTACAGATGCCTGGAATGATGCAGTCAGTAATGCCAGGAATGATGATGTCCCACATGTCCCAAGCTGCTATGCAGCCTACAGTTCCGGTGAGTTGAACTTAACTTTTCTGGTTTTGAAAAGGTTTTTGTGCCAATTCCTGTCATTACTTCAGTACGGCTGTGCCTTTGTTTGCTTGAGCTGGATTATGAAAAAGGAAGTGCTAATTGCAGTGGTTTTATCTAGCTCTTGAGTTACTGTGGGCGCTGGCAGCCCAGAAAGCCAACCGTATCCTGGGCTGGATCCAGAGCAGCTTGGCCAGCAGGGAGAGGAAGGGGATTCTGCCCCTCTGCTCTGGGGAGACCCCCCCGCAGTTCTGCCTTCAGCTCTGGGGCCAAACAGCAGAAGGACACGGAGCTGTTGGAGCGAGTCCAGGGGAGACCACGGAGATGCTCCGAGGGCTGGAGCCCCTCTGCCATGGGGACAGGCTGGGGGAGGTGGGGAGTTCAGCCTGGAGAAGGGAAGCTCCGGGGAGACCTCAGAGCCCCTTCCAGTGCCTGGGGGGCTACAAGAAAGCTGGGGGGGACTTCTCCCCAGGGCAGGGAGTGACAGGACAAGGGGTAACGGGGTTAAATGGGAAGAGGGAGACTGGGATGGGACATCAGGAAGGAATTCTTCCCGCAGAGGGTGGGGAGGCACTGGGACAGGTTGCCCAGAGAAGCTGTGGATGCCCCATCCCTGGGAGTGTCCAAGGCCAGGCTGGATGAGGCTGGGAGCAACCTGGTCTAGTGGAAGGTGTCCCTGCCCACGGCAGGGGGGTTGGAACTAGATGGTCTTTAAGGTCCCTTCCAACCCAAACCATTCTATGGTTCCATGATTGTTCCTTGAGATATGCTAGATGCCTGAGATTTCATAGCAGAGAAGGGATGTTAATTATCCTAAAACTGCAGGAAACTTCAGTTCCTGGGCTTTATCCAACACCAGAGAATCTGCCTGTTAGTTACAGCTTTGTCTCTCACTGCTGTTGTGGGGTTAACAAGATGTGTCTGTCACAGCCTTAGTGTAGTGTAAGTAGAAGTCAGTACCTCCTTAGGCTGTTCGTGGGAGCCGTGCTTCGTTAGTTCTTATGCTCCTGTAGCTGCTTCCTAACACACTGACTATTTTAGAAGCTGTCAGGTAGGGAGGGTGTTAGTGACTCTGTTTCCCATACAGAAGTGGTTAGTAATTTCTGACGAGTGATACTCACAGAACATTTTGAAATAATTTCAGACCTTCAGAGAAAAATCTTAAGTGCTGTGGCCCAAAGAGACTTAAAAGTGGAGGCAGGACTAAAATCAGTCCAATTTAGAGTTTTACTGTATATTTTCATGTATTTTGGCAAGAAGGTGGATAATTTGGGTTTCTAATACAGGATTAGGAATACATCTGGACTGAATATGGATATATGGCATTTAGGAGGTAAAGTGGCATGGCAGAGGGCTCCAGCTTTTGACTCTGCCCTCGACCCTCTTGGCAGTGACAGCAGGAGCCCACACCTCTGCGCACGTGCAGGTGAAGGTGTTTGTGTGTCATGGCAGTGTTCTTGTGCCTCTCTGCTACCGTATGCCTACTGCAGCCTGGAAAGTCTGTCAGGAATGACGACTTTACCACGTCCTAGTTTACAATAATTTGTAGCTGAGGAAGAAATTGTGACCTTTCAGCCCTGATGATTTGCTTGGTAAACTTTGTGAGTTTGACTTGTTATAATTTTGGCTGCTGGATGGAAAATACCTTCTCTGAGTGTAAAACAGGATCTCAAGCTCGTTGAGGCTGATGGGATGGTGTTAGTGATGTCGGGGCTCTTGGGTCTTGGCTGTCCCATCCCGTGTGGTGGTCTTTCACACCACCCCTATGCAGGTTCACTAGCTGGTCTGCGATCTACAGAAGCGTGTACTTCCAGAACGCTGGTTCGAACCAGAGTAGTTACTAAAAATGAGTATTTCAGTCAGATTAGTGCTTTTAGAATAGCAAGTTAGAAAACATAGGCACCTGAGAAGAAACATGTCACAGAGATGACTTACTGGGGACACAAATACAACTGTGGCCTTGCTTAAGCGACAGCACCAACGCTCACAGGCGTACACGTGCAGACAGCAGTGGAGATGGTTTTTTGATGTACAAAATGCACTTTAAAGAGCTGCATTTCATTGATTATTCACCTGATTCATCAGATAATATGGATATAATTGATCAAATATAATTTCTTTCATATTTTTAACAAATTTTACTTTTTGATTTGAGGAGGTTTGTTAATAAAGCTTGTAGAAGATAAGCCCTAGCAAAAGAGAAACCTGCAGGCTGTTTTTTTGCCTGCAGGAAAAGAAAGAAATTGAGAAAACTCTATTAGAATTCTGTTCATCTTTTTCCTTACTTTGGAAGAATTTCAAAAAGGGTGTCTGTAAGAGCTTTGGTTATTTTCAAGCAGTTTTATGAATGCAACAAATTCAACACTAATATCCTCAAAGGCTTATGCCACATAATTATAACAGAAGCCTGCTCAGCCACTCCAGCAGAAATTCAGAGTATCATTTTTTTTTTCCTCCCAACCTATTTGTCTGGGAGATGAAGATGTGTATTGTATAGATTGCCTTTCTGGGGAGTAGCTTGATGTTCCTAATCGCTTATTTAAGGACCAATAATAATCAGGTGGGCGATGAGAAGGTAGGAATCTGTGTTTAAGGCAGTAGAGCATTTTGGTGCTGAAAGAGCTTGTTTGGATGTGTACCGTATTTATTGATGATTTAATTACCATGCACTTGGTACTTAAATGTCTGTTGATTGTTTCTACAGCCAGGGGTGAACAGTATGGATGCCCAAGTAGGTAAGTACAAACCATTTGTTACCATTTCCAAATATTTCACCTAAATTAGGTGAAGTATTTTAAAAACATACAGTTTTCTGTGAAATGCATTTTAGCATTTCAGTAACTGAAATCTTCATTGATTCCCAGGAAAAACTTCTTTCTTTTCTTCCAAACACCGATTAATTCGAGTCTTTATATAGAAGAATAAAGCAACCAAACCTTTCTTTGAATTAATCTTTTAAATGTTATTTTTTTAGGCGTAACACCTCCTGGAACTCAGGTAAGTGAAACCCACACATCTAGAAGACTGTAATAGCAGTGTGGAGTTGTGCCTACGCAGCTTTGCAGGAACCTTGCATCTCACTTTTCTTCTTGTATGGCGCTGCTTTGCTGCTTTGACTGTCAATCTGTAATTAATCTGAAAATTAACAGCTCCGAATGTTTCTGATTTGTCAGGTAGATACGGTTTTCATGGTCTCCTCGTGTGAAAGCAGTGTTTTGTTATTTATAAGCCTGAACTGGAGCAGGGGTGACTTTCTAGTTCTGGTATGCAGGATGGCAGTGTGAGAGGTTTCTGGTGGTGGTTTTGGGTCTCTGCCCTACCCGAGCAGCAAGTGACCCAAAGCCTAGATCCCTGTGTTACTTTAAAGCACGCTGTCTTGATGTAAATCTTCCCTCGTGTTGGGCTAGGTAGTTATTAAGTGTAGAGCTGGGGTTTTAGTTGTGCTGCAGCAGTTCCTCTTTCTGTGTTTTCCTTCTGTTTTTCCTTTTGTCCTTCCGTGTCAGTGACCAGAGCAGACTTGAAGCAGACTTTTATTTTACTTAGGTTTGGGTAGCTCTTTGCCCAGTCCATATTAATGAGCTGCCAAAGCAAAATACTCTGATACATGCGGCAGGGTGTGGTGGGCAGGGATGAAACCTTCCTTGTTGTGCTTAGGGGGAGAAGCTAGGTCAAGGTTCTGGCCTTGTTCAGACCCCTGTGATTTACTGGAACCTTTGTTAGCCTTCTCAGCTCACTGAGAGCTTTGTTACCAGACATGAACAATAAGAAGGCAATAGCCTGTAGTTACCCACAGTAACTTTGAGAACATCACTGTGGTTTCTGAAGAATATAAAGTACTAAGCTCGAAGGAATGGTTATCACTTCATCATTCGTTGGTAGCTTAGCTTCACTTCTCCCCCCAAGTCTTGACACTATTTGGAATTTGCTTTTGTGAGTGTTGCCTTCCAGGTCTGTGGGAACACTGCATAATTCAGTCGCTTTAGAAGGAATAAATACTGGGTCTGTTACATGGAAGCTGATTTAATGTGGGGTGAACTGGTAAAGAGGAAGGTGGCTTGCAGGCCAAATTTACTCCTCTAGGTGATTTTTCCATCCTCTTCCACCTTTCCATGTGATGGGAAATGACTGATGGAACAGAACTGGTGCTGTAGATCTTGGTATTGAAACTTTTGAATCCTGAATCAGTGTAACTTTGTATTGACATAGGCATCTGGAATTAATCTCAAATTCTAAATTTGTCTTTCGTGGCACCTGGAATGACTGTGAAGAACTTCCAGTCACTATCAGATTGCTAGTTAAAATTTTATAACTATTAAATTGCTTCCCTAGAAGATATCCCAGACAGTTTTTAAAGTGAAGAAGAAAACAGTTTGGCTGGATAACATACGAGGCAGAATCTAAAAAGTCACGTGTCCTCAAAGATGCCTCTTGTAAGTGTTTAGCTTCAAAACTGGGGACCTTGTACCTAGCTTAGTTATTAAATATCGGTGACTAGCAATTGTCCTTTGATTTCCATGAGGTTTGCATTCTGGGGAACTGAACAAGGCGAGTGAACCTGTAAAAGGTTGTTTCTCCTCAGCCATCTCCAGTAACTGAGGGTAGATGGGCTGGTGAGTACAGCTTTAGCCTAATTGCAGAGAGTTTGTATGGGTTGCTGATAAAAAGCAGTAGGGAGGTACCCCTGAGTTCACACTCGACTTTCAAAGTCAGAATCATTTGGAAACAAATTTCTCTTACTTTTGAGAACTTGGTGTGCTTCAGTTCTGCTTCCTTCTCTGCTGAAAGTGGCTGCCTTGGGGTGCGGAATGGGAGAGGGCTGTGAGACACTCCCACCAGCTCTTCTCACAGAGGAGCAGTTTCCTGGACAACACTGACCTAAGTGTGTTCAGGTTTTGGCTTGCTGTCTTTCCTTTGCTGCTGAATGACTTAGTATGTTGAATATACGTGTTCAAATGAAAACAAATATTAACCAGAATGTCTTTTCAGAGCTCTGTTTTGTTTCGCCCTCAGACAACGCATCCCGTAGTTTGTGCAGCCCAGCAAACTGCCACAACCAACAGTTCTGTTAATGAAGAGCAGTCGAAACAGGTTTTTCAGCTTTCCACTTGTATTTAGCTACTTGCTGGCTTTTGATAGCGTCTCGGTCAGCAACTGCTCTGTGTCATCATGGTATCTCTTGGGTTTTGATTTTAGAAATCGACATGGACGGAGCACAAATCACCTGATGGAAGAACATACTACTATAACACTGAAACAAAGCAGTCGACGTGGGAGAAGCCAGATGATCTCAAAACGCCTGCTGAGGTAGGCTGAATTCTGGTGGAGGTTGCTGGAGGGTGGGAGTTTGGGCAGACACCGGAGTTTACAGCCTAACTACGCTGCGGGGGGATAGCTGTGCCGACAGGTGGTGTTTTTTCACCGAGGGTAGCGAACTCCTAGGGTGAGAGACGCTGCAAAACCTATACATCTCATTGCTTCTGTTTGGAACGTGAGGCTGCAAAGTGGACCACGCTCTTGACACTTCTCATCAATCTTTAGATAAATTTTCCTCCTTAAAAGGCTGGATTTCTTTTAATATTTAGTTAAGTTAATGTGTTTATTATTAGGGAGGATTTTGCTTGGAAAGTATAACCTTGTGTTCATTGAACTTTAAGTTATTTCTTGGCGTAGCATTTCTGGCTTACTTCTAGCGATCCTTTTAGTTTTAACTCCTTAAATATTAAAGAAATCCAGCCTTTTAGTTAAGTTAATGTGTTTATTATTAGGGAGGATTTTGCTTGGAAAGTATAACCTTGTGTTCATTGAACTTTAAGTTATTTCTTGGCGTAGCATTTCTGGCTTACTTCTAGCGATCCTTTTAGTTTTAAAACACCACTGTAACTCTGATTTTATTTTTTTGGTTTTTTTATCCATTAGCAATTGTTGTCTAAGTGTCCTTGGAAAGAGTATAAATCTGATTCTGGCAAGCCCTACTACTATAATTCCCAAACAAAGGAATCGCGCTGGGCAAAACCCAAAGAGCTGGAGGATCTTGAAGGTAATGTTAAGAAAAACTAGTAGTGAGTTGTAAGTTGTGCATATTCATGAGTTTGGGCGAAAATTTGATATCACAGCATAGCAATCGTCTTATCAGAAATTAAATCTGCTGAAATAAGGTGTGTGTAGGGTTAATGCAGCCTGAGATTTGTATGGAGCGGTTTTGTCTCCTGGGTCCACACCACCTCCTCACCCTCCCCTTTCCCATTACACCCTTCTTCCCCGGTGTATGTGGCAACAGCATCAGCCCCCTTGTGTCCCCAAACGGGAACTGGTTTAGGATGTGGGTGCCGTGGCTTGCTCATGGCCGAGAAAAAAATATTTTGATAAACTGATGTGGCAAAAAATATTAGTAATTTTTTTAATGCCTTTCTGCTTTAGAAAGGCAGTGTCCCTTTTTGTACAAACATCACATGATGCTGTGCTCCTGTTTTTCACTTTTAGCACGGTTTTTGTTTGGTATTGTAAGGGAAATAAGATCTTGATGAAAAATCTACAAAATCAGCTGGGGTAAGAATTGAGAATTTTAAAAAGTACTACGAATGTTAAGCATCGGTGACTGTTAGAATAAAAAAGAAGGAAAGATCTGTATCAGTGAACCTGACTTTATCTGTTCTTTAGGCTTTTTAAGTTGAAATATCTTTTTTAAACCGATAACTTATTTTTTTATATACCTTAATCTTTATTTAATGGGATTTATAAATTTTTAGTCTTAATCCATGTCAGTTGTTAAAGGGCACAAATATTAAAATAATTGATAGTAACAAAAATATTTAAAGCTCTGCTTTTATTAAATCATGTTAACAGTAACTTACCATTCATGAACTGTTTTTGAAGCTATATTTTGATCTGTTTTTTTCCCCTCTCTCCTCTAGCAATGATTAAAGCTGAGGAAAGCAGGTATGTTTTTATGGTACACTAATGTTCTTTTTTCTTTTTATGCTAGGCTGCCTATTATTTATTAAAAGTGGAATGTAGCCCTTGAATCTTAAAGCCTTCTCCTTGCAACTTTTCATTCCAAATAGTGGCTTAATGTACAAAAATTGAAATAATAGATTCTGGACTTCTTTTTAACTGAAATGATTGATCTGGATGATCTTTAAGGTCCCTTCCAACCCAAACCATTCTGATTCTATGATCTATGTGCATACACAGTTTCAGTGAAGCGTTTTAAGGCCAGGCTGGATGAGGCTTTGAGCACCCTGCTCTAGTGGAAGGTGTCCCTGCCCATGGCAGGGGGGTTGGAACTAGACGGTCTTTAAGGTCCCTTCCAACCCAAACCATTCTGTGATTTCCATTCTCTGAGCGAAGACTGCTTTGTGTTCTGAGCTACAGTCTAGGTAACTAGATCTAAACTGCTCATTTAATACTTCATTAACTTATTTAAACTACGTTTCCCTAAACCTTTCCTTTGTCCCATGCTTGTATGTGACTGTGCCTGTTCTTTGATACCCATAGCACAAAGCCCGACGAATCAACTCCAACAGCATCTGCTCCAGCTGTTGCAGCAGAAGCGGCAAACGCAACCGCCGCAGCCACAACCGCTGCTGAAACTGCCGCCGCTGCTACCACCACCACCACGTCCTCAGCAAAGGCAGGCCCGCTCCCACCCCCCCCACGTCCTCAGCAACGGCAGCCCCCGAAGCGGAGTCCGCTGCAGCTGCTTCGGTGGCAGAAAACGAGAGTGCTGGCACCGCCGCGGCTGAGGAGCAGGGACAAGCAGCTTCTGCGTCTGCTGGGCAGGAGCAGGGTGGAGAAGCAGCAGCTAGCGCAGCAGACGACTCTTCCAAGCAGGAGGCTTCAGCAGAGTGAGTGACATGACCAAGCCTGCGGCTTTGCTGCAGTTTTGTATTTCTTTCGGGATCTGGTTTATCGTTCTTTGACAGCCACTTCTTAAACGTCAGCATGAATCGATGGCAGCAGAGAAGGATAATGTGTAAGAAAGAGAAGGAAGTATTATATCTATTTTTAGAAAAAATTAATGCCCTCCCCTTGCCAACCCTCGCCCAAAGCTCTTAAACCCTACAGAGGGCATAAGCGCCTTGAACATTGCATGAATTTCTTGATAGCTGGGAGAGTTTCCCGGGTTACCCTGTGTGTTTCCTCTTCCAAAGATCTGTGCAATTAGCTAGAAATTAGAAAATGCAGTGCTAAATAGATCTTTATCTGTTCCACCAGCAATGAGGTCCTTTGGTTTTTAATAATGGAGAACTAATTATGTGGAGAATTACAGCTGATGACTTATCATTCAGACAAAAAGGAAAGACGCTCTAGCCATCAGGAGATAATTACGGGCAAGAGGCATATTTTTAGGCACTCCCCTTTGTGCTTTTTTAGTGTATATATATATTTTCCAGTTAAATTTCAGCATTGTATTTTAATGAATCGTTTCTGGATAACTTGAGCAGGTAGGTATCTGCATAAGTGATAGTAATTGTCTGAAATAATTTGCTTTTTTTGTTCAGTTGTGAGTGGTGTCTGTAAGGAAAAAGTCTTGTACACACTGTAGTGTTTATCATGTGTGGTGTTATTTTTCTTTGAGTTGCTATTTCAGATACTCATTTTGTCGGATTCTGGTGGTTTATGAATCTTCAGTGGCTCCAACTTAAAATTATTGCCATTTTTTTGTATATAGTGCTGCTTCAAAGAAAGATGACGACGATGCCCAACCTGTTAAAAAAACCTACACGTGGAATACAAAGGAAGAGGCAAAGCAAGCGTTTAAAGAACTGTTAAAAGAGAAGGTATTTTGGTCAATTGTTCTTCATGCCTTGTTGAATTGCAAAAACTGCATTAGTCAGAAATTGCTAGGGGGGTTTTCTTGTGAAGAATTTCTCACCTGTGGAAGAGGCCTTTTATACTAGACAAGAAATAAGGGAAAAGAAATGCTGCAGTAAAAACGATAGACAGTTTAAACTGTTTTCCAGCTCTTGGGGTGAGTGGGGAGGTGCTGAGTTTTCACTGGGGCTCTCAGTTCCGTTTGTTCATATTTTCTTCCTTCTGCGTGATCCCCACGCTGCAACACAAACTTGGAATCTGGGCTTTGGCCAGAATTCAAACTGGAACGGTGAGTGAGGTGACGGACGGCTGCGCTTCAGAGACAGTGCAGAGGGGACGAACTGTTAGGTTGAGTATGCAGCGCTTCCGGAAGCGAGTAGGATTCAGGGAGATGTTTTTCCCCACCGTGAAGTACTAATTCTGAAACTGTACTGAAGCGTTGTGGAAGTGACGGCTCCCGATACCTCTTGTCTGACAGTGAGGTAGTTTCTGATCAAAGTGTTGCCTGATCATCTGAGCCCTCAGTGTTTTATCCTTGCTTGGAAGATTGAAGATGAAGTGGGTGTAAAATCAGACTGGCTTTGGTTTTCCCTCAGAGTATGTGGGATCTCTGTTTCGTCTGGTGTGTCAACGTAGCTGTATAGTAGACAAACCTGCAGAGGAATTTGTGGTAGAAATGGCAATAATCCCAGAAGTACCTTGTTTCATTTTCCATGGTGTCACAAGTTTTGTTTAAATTCTGTTAACAGTCTAAGAACAGTGTCTTAACCCTGAAAGCAAAGTGCTTTTTCTGTTTGTAAGGGCTGTTCTTTAAGGAATCTGTCACTGTTGGATGTTGGTCCCACGTCTAATTCACGATTTAATGTCTTCGCAGCGAGTGCCATCCAATGCTTCTTGGGAGCAGGCTATGAAAATGATCATCAATGATCCGAGATACAGGTACTGCTTGATTCTTCCCTCATCACATTTCTCCAGAAAGCCCGCTGTAGGTAGTTTGACCTGACTGGTGTAACTTCCCATTGCTTTTAGAGATACTTGTGCATTTGTGAACGTGTACAGTTGTCAGGGAGCTTTGTTCCTTCACGGCATAAAGAAATGCAAGTCCTAGGCTTAATTTTTCATTCAGGAAATATGTTGCAGTTGTATTTTATGCTCTTAAAATATTCCCTCTTTTCGTGGGAATAGAAGCACATATTTCCAGTGGCAAAGCTAAAGACTTTATAGGTTACTTTTGTAAATGGGTGGCTGCTATAAACATTGGCAGGAAAGCGTTGGTGTCCGTGATGAAAGTGGTATTGGGAAATGTGGAAATGCAGCCTGAAAGCGTGATAGGAGCGTGTTTGGTTGACTGCTTTTATTAGGAAGTACTGGGTTTTACTGCTTTTTTGAAACGAACTTCTGTAATCCGGAGGGAGAAGGAGTGTGATGACTGGCCGTTTAGCTTATATTTCAGTTTGTCTCAAAAATCTGGATTATTCAAATCTGTTACCTCTTGGCTCTTTGGTTTTGTTTTCCTAATTTAATTCCCTTTCGTATAATTGATGTTGTTCTCTTTTTTTTCTTTGACACGAAGTGCTTTGGCAAAATTAAGTGAAAAAAAGCAAGCCTTTAATGCTTACAAAGTTCAGACAGAAAAAGAAGAGAAAGAAGAAGCAAGATCAAAATACAAAGAAGCTAAAGAATCCTTCCAGCGTTTTCTTGAAAACCATGAAAAGATGACATCCACAACAAGATACAAGTAAGACTGATCCTAAATGCTGTTCCGGCCTTCACTCGCTTGCCCAGTTACTGATCCAGCCTCCATGTCTTGCTCTTGGGGAATGCTAACCTTTGTACTTGCTCAACATGGAAAAGCCTCTAACTAAATGATAGGAACACAAATATTCTCCTTTTCATAGACCCAGGCAGGAAGACTGCTAACGAGTGGTGTGCTGAGCTCGTTTGAGCTGCTAGTAAGTAGAAATAGAAGATAACACGGAGAGGAGTTTTATATATTGCAGCTGCCTTTGAGAACAAAGTAGTTCTGAGAAGCCGGTTCATGGAATTTCGTGCCCAAAGGGATTATCTACTTAGTCACTGAAAATTTCACGTGTCTGGTTTCATATGATGCTTGCCAGAACAGTGGCCTGACAGGGGCTGGCCCTCAGGTAAACGTGCTGAGGCAGTGCGCTGCAGGTGAGCTTGCACCTCTCTGCAGGTGGAGAGGCCTGTGTAGCGGCATCAGCTTTAGCTTTTAACTCTTTCCTTTGTTTCCAAGAGATAGAAAGCTGTCACAGAATATTAGGGAGATGGCAGACAAAAGCTTTACTACTTATGACAGAGCTTGTTTAATGTTACTGAGAGCAAGTGGGATGATTTAACTCTGTGTTGGCCAGTAAATTAATTGTGTGCTGCTGCTTTGTTCTGTACAGAAAAGCTGAACAAATGTTTGGGGAGATGGAAGTCTGGAATGCGATATCTGAGCGTGATCGTCTTGAAATTTATGAAGATGTCCTGTTTTTTCTCTCCAAGAAAGAGAAGGTATTTTTCTTTCAAACACCTTTTCACTTGTTATCTGTAAATTAGTCTATACCTCTCAGTAAAGAGATCCTGAAAGCAGTGCAGTTCCAGGTGTTGTTCAGGGACAGTCGAAATGCCAACAGGAATCCGTAGGAAAGGCCTGGAGAGACCGTTGCTGCGTTACTGTGAGCAGTGTACTGCTTACAGGGCACAGGTCAGGCTACCCCCTCTCCAAAGGGAAACAAAGAGCAGAAGGGAGGGAAGGTTTATCGACTGAGACACTGGGGAGAGGGGGAATCTTCTGTTTAGAAGGATGTCATGGAGAAGGGGACAGAGGAAAAAGCACTGGTGGAACTCTTCAAAGCTGGCTGGTGTTGCAGATGTGAATTTGGGGACAGTGGTTCCTTCCTGTCGGGAACAGAGACCATTTGGGGACAGTGGTTCCTTACTGACAGACAGGTTCCTTCCTGTCGGGAACAGAGACCACAGTACTGAAATGCTTCATCTGTGGATGCAACAACAGCACTGTGTCAAGACTGTGTGTGGCTCCACACTGTGTTACGTTGCTTTGCAGTCAATGGAAGGTTAATGTTGAGTTTTCTGAGAGAAGAAACTTTGAGGGGTTGTGAGTTTTCATCTATACAACCTCAAATTAATAAATATCTTTTTTTTTTTTTTTCCTCAGGAACAAACCAAACAGTTACGGAAGAGGAATTGGGAAGCTTTAAAGAACATCCTAGATAACATGGCTAACGTCACGTACTGTACAACTTGGTCAGAGGCTCAGCAGTATTTGATGGACAATCCTACATTCGCAGAAGACGAGGAACTTCAGAGTATGTAAAAAGTCTAGGTGTTTCTTTTGGAAGGGGGGATGGATTGGTCTTCAGCAGTGAGGATTCCCAAGTATGGCTTGCTCTTGCCCAGTCCGGAGCCCCTCTGCCAGCTACTGACAGTCCGTATGCAGGGACCTGTTTGCTTTGTTCCCAGGAAACAGATGTCAGCTTCAAAGCTGTTACTGATTAATCTTGATGACAAAGCACAGGATGCCTTTTCCGTGGGAAAAAGGGACACCTTCCACTAGACCAGGTTGCTCCAAGCCTCTTCCAGCCTGGCCTTGGACACTCCCAGGGATGGGGCATCCACAGCTTCTCTGGGCAACCTGTCCCAGTGCTCCCCACCCTCTCAGGAAGAATTTCTTCCTGATGTCCCATCTCAATCTCCCTCTTTCCATTTAAACCCATTACCTATTGTCCTGTCGCTCCCTGCCCTTGGGAAAAGCCCCCCCCCAGCTTTCTTGTAGCCCCCCAGGCACTGGAAGGGGCTATAAGGTCTCCCCAGAGCTTCCCTTCTCCAGGCTGAACCCCCAACTCTCCCAGCCTGTCCCCATGGCAGAGGGGCTCCAGCCCTCAGAGCATCTCCGTGGCCTCCTCTGGACTCGCTCCAACAGCTCCTGGTCTTCCTGCTCTCCTCCAGAGCTGGAGCAGAACTTTATTTTCACAACTGTGAATGCATTTGACAAAGATACTCCAAGTTCTTAAGAACACAGGACAGAAGTGAGATACCCACGGTGGTGCCGGGAGGTGCACGAGTGCCTGTCCACAGTACTTTGCTCTTAAAAGCTCCTGTGCTCTGTTGGCCATGGTAACTTATCCTGGTTGGAGGGGTTGTTTTTGCTGCTGTGGAGGGGTGAAATACTTCATTTCAGTGCTGGGTGAAGCCTCCTCCTACCGTAACAACTGGCAGCCGTTACCTCAGTGAGGGCCGTCCTACAGCCAGTGGGAAGAAATACCTGACGTTATCGCTCTGCTGTCATCTCTTCCTAGACATGGATAAGGAGGACGCGCTGATCTGCTTCGAGGAACACATCAGGGCATTGGAAAAGGAGGAGGAAGAGGAAAAACAAAAGAGTTTGCTTCGAGAAAGAAGGCGGCAGCGTAAAAACAGAGAATCTTTTCAGGTTGGTGGGCCTTGATTTTCTGCCCTAGGCATGTCACGTGATGAGATGCTCTGTGCGGGGGGTTTATTTCATAGGGTGGGCTCACAGTGGCTGTAACGCCTCAGTTTTCAGCATTCTGTCTGCTGTAGAGTACCACTGTTTGCCAGAAAGCTGCGAGAGCTGGCGGAGGGGTTAAGAAATGGGTTTGAATGGAAAGGGGGTGTAATTGGAACACTGATAGGTGGAGGAAGGCGGGAAGATGCAAAAAACCTGATTTTTTCAATAACGTTGTAACAAAACTGGAATTCCAGTTATCAGGAGAATTCATTCCAGCTGTTAGCAAGTCAGAGTATGACGAGGGACCCGTGTTTTGTAGCTGTTCCTAGATGAACTGCACGAGCACGGACAGTTGCACTCGATGTCCTCCTGGATGGAGTTGTACCCGACCATAAGCTCCGACATCAGATTCACCAACATGCTTGGTCAGCCTGGTAAGAATCCGGTGTTCCAACCCTGCGGAGAAGTGAGGCAGAGGCTGGGTTTGGGGCAGAAGAGAGCAGGGTTATTTGTATATTTTCTGAATGTTTAAAAAAATGCAGCTCTTGTACTAGAGCTAGCTTTTGACTTATCTAGTTTTTTCATCAGGATCAACAGCACTTGATCTTTTCAAGTTCTATGTGGAGGACTTGAAAGCACGCTACCACGATGAAAAGAAGATCATAAAAGATATCTTAAAGGTGAGAGGGAGACGCTGCGTTATGTGGCTGCTTCTTTGCACGCCTGAACGTAGCCCTCGCGGGAGCCCCGCTGGGGGATGGGACTTCACGGTGCGTCGGTGTCGGGTGAGCCGAGCGTTCCCGACGTTCCTGATGCCAAAGAAGCGATTTTCTTGCAGGATAAAGGGTTTGTGGTGGAAGTGAATACTTCTTTTGAAGACTTCGTCACGGTCATCAGCTCAACGAAAAGGGCGACCACTCTAGACGCGGGCAATATCAAGCTGGCTTTCAACAGCGTACGTACTAACCTGGAGCGGTGTTGGACAACTCGCAGTAGCAAATCTCTAGTAAAACCAGGGTCTGGCACTGCTTCTTGCTGGGACTGCGTCCGTAACGTTTGAGGTGCTCTGCTGTAGACATGCTTTTCCTGAAAGTTCCCAAAATAAAGATCGCGGAGGTGTACCTTTAGTCAAACATTTCCACTTGAATTGAGGAAATAAGTACTATCCTCTCATTCTGACTTTCCTCATGAGGGGTTTTCTGCAGTTCTGGCTTGCGTGGCATGTACACTCTCCTTTAGATTTGGTTTGAGAAACAGCAGGTGCATGCTCCAAAACAAGTAATTGGGTAATTTTCCTGTAGGCCTAAGTGATTGATAGAAAACCCTGAAGTTGCACTGTCGTTGGGCTTTCCAAAAATTGCATTAAACTCAGTTATTAGTCTTCCTCTCAAATGATCTTATGACTCTGGTCTGATACAGCTGCTAGAAAAGGCAGAAGCCCGTGAAAGAGAGAGGGAAAAAGAAGAAGCTCGCAAAATGAAGCGGAAAGAGTCTGCCTTCAAGAGTATGCTGAAGCAAGCGACTCCCCCCATTGAGCTGGACGCCGTCTGGGAAGACGTACGTATCCTCACTTGGATTATGGAAGTTTTGCCAAGGATCTTGATCAGGCTGCCCGCTAAAGCTTTGAGAAGCAACCTGGGTTCCAAACCCTCCTGGTGTTGCTGTTCCCGTAACTCAGACCTGGACCAGTGGTCCTGTCGTTGCGTCAGTCGGAATTCAAACTGGATGGAAATGGCTTCGTTCTACTGACGCTTTTGTTTGAGTACAGTTTTAAAACAAACAGAAACTTGGCCTTGCCCCAGTACAGTGGCCTTTTGAACTGGAGAAATCGTGTATTTCTTAGCGTTTCTGTTGTTTTGCTTGGCGTGGCTGGATCTCATGTCAGTCTGTCCTCGCTGTCCTTCGCAGATCAGAGACAGATTTGTGAAGGAACCAGCGTTTGAAGACATCACTCTGGAGTCTGAAAGGAAAAGAATATTTAAAGACTTCATGCATGTACTAGAGGTAATTATGACTTCATTTCCTCCTGATTAGAGAATATACCAAATCTCCTTGGTTGGTTGGTTGGCCCTTAGAGGGGGATTTAATGGAATTCTGCTGATTCCTGTTGCTGTGGACACTGCGGTACCCAAAAGTAACGGGCATTAAAACCTCATCTTGCAGGCAAGGAGCTGAGGAGACACGTTGCAGGTATTTGATGTTAGTTCATACTTTGCTGTTCTCTTACTCCCTGCAAGGGTTTTCAGACGTTAAGATCAAAGATTTCCTGGTTTATGTTAGGAAAACTGGTTGTTGCTGTGACTTCCTACACAACGGGATGAAACTGGAACTGGAGCTTGTGCAGTATTTTGTTCCCTACAGAGCTGGAGCTTGGAGGGGGCAGGAAGCCCGGCAGCTGAACTGTTTTTACTGTAGCCAGCGTGTGCGGGTGCGCCGAGGGGCGAAGCAGAGTTCTGCTCCTCGTTTCTGGGTGGGCCGCAGGGAGAGTTCAGCTGCAGGAGTTGTGACGAGTCGTTCTGTTGGAATGAGGCGCTGGTTTTCCTCGATAACGAGATTTGACTTTGCAGCACGTGCTCTTTGGGCGTTTTTTGTTTTGCTTTTCTGGCGTTTGAAAGAGGGTTCAAGGTGGCCCAATGGCAGAACTTGCCGCGTGGCGTAGCAAGGTGTGCGGTGTCTCCCAGCCCGTCCTGAGCGGCGGCTTTAAAGTGGAAGTGTTGAGACAGGGATCCGGGGAACAGGAGCCGTGTGCGTCCGTGCCCGAAGCTGGATGTTGCCTCGCTCCTAGATGTTACCCCTCGGTGCTGGTGGCTGCCCACGGATGTGTGTGCAATATGCACGAGGTGGTTGGTTTTGAGACCTCTGCTACCCACAGAGGCCTTGTGAGAAACCTCATCACGGCTCCTGCTGTGTCCTGCGTTGGGGTTGTAACGTCTGCCTTCTCTTCTACCCCAGCACGAGTGTCAGCACCATCACTCCAAGAACAAGAAGCACTCTAAAAAGTCCAAGAAACACCACAGGAAGCGGTCGCGTTCCCGTTCGGTAAGTGTTTCAGGGGGTCTGGAACTCTGCTTCTCTGACGACTCACAATGCCGTCGCCTCCCTAATCCCCTTGGTTTTGTACCCCAAGGGCTCAGAGTCTGAGGATGACGACAGCCATTCGAAGAAGAAGAGGCAGCGTTCGGAGTCCAGATCGGTTTCTGAGCGTTCTTCCAGCGCGGAGTCCGGTACGAGAGGCTCTTGTTGGCTTTAAATCGCTCCTCTGCTGCGGGGCCTTCCTAGCTTTGTTGATGTGGTTTTGTTTCTTCCGATATCTGCAGAGAGAAGTTACAAGAAGTCAAAAAAACACAAGAAAAAGAGCAAGAAGAGGAGACATAAGTCGGTAAGTGCTGGTTTTGAGTTGGGTAATGGACACGTTGATGGCCAAAGCCATAAGGGGTCCTTTTTGGGGATCTGCAGTAGGGACTGTGTAGATCGGACCAGAGGAGGCTGTCGGCGCCATAGCAACTGTCTTTTACACATCTTCACCGTTGAAGACACCTGAATTCGGTGGGTTTAGCCATGCAAACAGGTGTCAAGGTCTCTGCTAGAAGCTGCATTTACCTTTTACCATGGCAGATCTTGGCATTCACTTTTCTGTAGAGGGCTGGGAAGAATGCAGCCACCTTTTTGTAGAATCACAGAACGGTTTGGGTTGGGAGGGGCCTTAAAGCCCCCCCAGTGCCACCCCCTGCCATGGGCAGGGACACCTTCCATAGCCCAGGGTGCTCCAAGCCTCATCCAGCCTGGCCTTGGACACTCCCAGGGATGGGGCATCCACAGCTTCTCTGGGCAACCTGTCCCAGTGCCTCCCCACCCTCTGCGGGAAGAATTCCTTCCTGGTGTCCTTTTCCATTTCCTTGGTGCCGAGCATCGTTAAGTGTCTGGGCTGTGTTAGCAGCTCCGACATGGACCCTGCTGCAGCACTGAAAGGTCCCGGAGGGCTGAGCAGGAACTTCCCTGTGTCCACTGAGACCAAAAGCCCTTTTTGTCCTTCTGGGAGTCTCCGAACGCCGCTGGCTGCAAAGCTCGTCCGCAGCCGCGAGCCCTCGCGTGGGGCTGTGAGCACCCCTGCAGCGCTCCGGGGGGCCGGGTGGGATGCTCGTGCTGGGGGCTGTGCAGCACAGCCAGCGTTACAGCTCAGCCGTAGCGGGATGAAACGTGGAATGTATCGGAGACGTGCCGCCCAGTCCCTCCCGGAGCGGTCGGTTGTCCAGGAAAAGCCGGGCAGGATTAACGCACCGGGG